AGCATCAGGTGATGATGTGGGTGGGGTTAGAAGCAGACCTCCAAGTATGCAGAATTTACATTATTGAACCTCAAAGGAACTTTCTTCAGAAGAATGGCAAGAGCAAAGCTTCAGCCCCTGATTCAGTAATGAAACTGTGTTCTTGGCTGGGTTGAGACTATATATTTAGCTCTAAAACCACATATATACCTCCTGGTATACAGCTCTGAGGGAGCTGAAAATGTGAGGTAGTGGTTATGTGCCATGGAGTAGTTTCCGACTCATAGCGACCCTGTACAGAGTTTCTGAGGCTATAAATCTTTATGGGAGCAGAAAGCCTCATCTTTCTCCCGCGAAACAACTGGTAGTTTCAAACTGCTGACCTTGTGCTTCGCAGCCTGATTTGTAACCACTGCACTACAGAGCTCCTTTGTGAGGAAGGTCATTTTTCCTTACTCCTTCTCCCAGGGTGCCCCTGTGATGTTTGCCCTTTCACAAAAGGAGCAACATTGAAGTAGGTTATACAGAGTATTTGATTTGTATCTTCTTTCCTTTCCCATCACCCTGGTTAGCCTGACCAACCTCAGGCCAGTAAAGGAAGATACACAAGAATGGTGTCCTAGCCAACAGGATCCAACAGAGCCTCATCTGCTGCATTCCAGAAAGGGGGAAAAAGCACTTAAGAGCCCAATTCCAGCAGCTGTTGAATCTTCCTGTCATCCTGTAATAAAGATCTATCTTCATGACCAGTTGCCATCAAGCTGTGCTTGATGAGAAGAACTGAGCTCCAGAGAGATTTGGATATAGATTGCCAGGCTTTCTTTGAAATTACCTCTGAGTGGACTCGAACCTCCAACCTTTCTTTCTTCAAAAGTGCATCCAAGTGGACTCAAATCTCTAACTTTTCAGTTAACAGCGAAGGGTTGAAGTCCACACAGAGGTGCCTTGGTAAAAAAAAGGCCTGGTTTTTATTTTTGTTGTTGTTGTTGTTAAGTGCCATCGAGTCGATTCCAACCCATAGCAACCCTGTACAGGGTTTCCAAGGCTGTAAAT